AAATTATCCAAAAATGAAGGAAATAATAAGCCATTCCCAGATCAATAAAAGCTGAGGGAGCTTGTTGCTAGTAGAACTACCCTGTGAAAAATGCTTAAAGGAGTCCTTAAGGCTGAAATGAAAGGACACTAGACAGTAACTTGAAGCTATATGAAGAAATAACACCAGTATAGGTAACAACATAGGTAAATATAAAAGCCAGTATTAGTGTATATTTGGTTTTGTTTTTTGTTTTTTGTTTTTGTGAGGAAGATCAGCCCTGAGCTAACATCCATGCCCATCCTTCTCCTTTTGCTGAGGAAGACCGGCCCTGAGCTAACATCTATTGCCCATCCTCCTCCTTTTTTTTCCCCTCCCCAGAGCCCCAGTAGATAGTTGTATGTGGAGGTTGCACATCCTGCTAGTTGCTGTATGTGGGACGCCGCCTCAGCATGGCCGGAGAAGCAGTGTGTCAGTGCACGCCCGGGATCCAAACCCGGACTGCCAGCAGCGGAGCGCGCGCACTTAACCGCTAAGCCGGGGGGGCCGGCCCTGTGTATATTTGGTTTTTAACTCCTTTTTTTCCCTGTGTGATTTAAAAGACAAATGCATAAAACAATAATTATAAATATATGTTAATGGGCTCACTGTATAAAGATGTTAACTTTAGAAAATAACAACATAAAGGGAGATGGAGCAGAATTTTTATGCTATTGAAGCTAAGTTGGTATTGATTCAAACTAGATTGCTATAAATTTAAGATGTTAATTGTAATCTGCAGAGTAGCCACTAAGAAAATAACTATATGAAATATCCAGAAAAGGTAAATCCTTAGAGACAGAAAGCTGATTAGTGGTTTCCAGGGGCTAAAGGGAGGAGGCAATGGGGTGTGACTGCTCAATGGATAAGGGGTTTCCAAATGGGATGATGAAAAAGTTCTGGAACTAGATACTGGTGATGATTACATAACATTATCAATGTACTTAATGCCACTGAGTTGTATACTTTAAAATGCTTACCATGGTAAATTTTATGTTATATGCATTTTACCACAATTTTAGAAAATCATAACAACATAAAGAGTGTGGTAGTGGCATAAAGATAGACATATTGATCAATGGAATGAAATTGAGAGTCCAGAAATAAACCCACATATCTATGGTCAATTGATTTTCAACAAGGGTGCCAAGACCATTCAGTGGTGAAAGAATAGGCTTTTCAACAAATGGTTTAGGGTCAGCTAGATATCCACATGTGAAAGAATGAAGTTGGACCCCCACCTCACATTACCTGCAAAAATCACCTCAAAATGGATCAGTGACCTAAATAGAAAAGCTAAAATTACAAAACTGTAAGAAGAAACACGGGAATAAATCTTCATGACTTTGGGTTTGATAATGGAGTCTTAGATACAACATTAAAAGCATAAGCAATAAGAGAAAAAATAGACAAATTGAACTTCATCAATATTTAAAATTTTTCTGCATCTAAGGACATTATCAAGAGAGTGGAAGAGCAATGCACAGAATGGGAGAAAATATTTGCGAGTCATATCTGATACAATTTTAGTATACAGAATATATAAAGAACTCTTACAACTCAAGAACAAAAAGACAACCCAATTCAAAAATGAGCAAAGGGGAGCTGGCCCAGTGGCATAGTGGTTAAGTTCATATGCTCCACTTTGATGGCCCAGGGTTCGCGGGTTCGGATCCCTGGTGCAGACTTACACACTGCTCATCAAGCCGTGCTGTGGCGGCATCCCACATACAAAATAGAGGAAGATTGGCACAGATTTTGTTAGCTCAGGGACAATCTTCCTCAAGCAAAAAGAGGCAGATTGGCAACAGATGTTAGCTCAGGGCAAATCTTCCTCACCAAAAAAAAAAAAACAAAAAAATGAGCAAGGTATTTAAATAGACATTTCTCCAAAAAAGATATACAAATGGCCAACAAACACATGAAAAGATGCTCAACATCATTAGGGACTAGGGAAATGTAAATCAAACCACAATAAGATACCACTTGACACTCACCAGAATGGCTATAATTAAAAAAAAGAAAAGAAGTGTTGGTGAGGATGTGGAGAAAGTGGAATGCTTATACATTGCTGGTAGTAGTGTAAAAAGGTGCAGCCTCTGTGGAAAACAGTTTGTGATCATTCCTCAAAAACTTAAACATAGAGTTGTGATATGACCCAGCAATTCCACTCCTAGGTATATACCCAAAAGAATCGAAAGCAGATAGTCAAACCAATACTTGTACATGAATGTGCATAGTAGCACTATTCACAATAGGCAAAAGGTGGAAACAACCCAAATATCCTTCAATGGATGAATGTATCAACAAATTGTGGTATATATACAATGAAATATTATTTGGCAATAAAAATGAATGACCTACTGATTGATGCTACAACATGGATGAACCTAGATAACGTTATGTTACATGAAAGAAGCCAAACCCACAAGGCCCAATATTATGGTTAAATGGTTAAAATGGTGAATTTTATGTTATGTGAATTCTACCACAATCAAAAACAATAATAAACTTCCAAAGGAAAAAATAAAAGAAGGACAAGAAAGCTGTTCTGGATTAATGAAGATTAAAGAGACCTGACAACTAAATGCCATTTGTGATTGTGGATTACATCCTGGACTGGGGAAAAAATAGCTGTAAAGGAAATTATTGGGACAGTTGACTAAATTTGAAAATAGACTGGATTAGATAATAGTATATATCAGTATTAAATATCTTGGTTTTATTACATTTATATATACTGTGGTATGTAAGAGAATGTCTTGTTCATAGGAAATATATACTGGATTATTTAAGTTTAAAGGGGCGTATGTCTCCAACTTACTTTCAAAATAGTGCAAAAGAAAATATATATCTATATAAAATGATAAAGCAAATAGAGTAATATATAAACTATTGATGAATCTGAGTGAAAAGTATATGAGTTCCTTACGTGAATATTTCCACTTTTCTGAGTTTGAAATTATATCAAATTCAAAGTTACTAACAAAATTAGATTTGTCTTTTTGTTATCTTCTGAGCAGCAGCATAGTCCAAATGATTGTAAGAAAAATAATGCTGGATGTGCTTCTTTGTGTTAGCTGCCTCATTTCACTCTGTCCTTAGACTTTTGTCTGTTTCTCAACTTCTGGATCCCAATATATTATTTATTTTATTTGCTTATAGCAATCTCTCCATAAGGTTATTACATAATTAATAAAAAGTACTCAGCTTCTATACACATTTATTGTTCTGCCTAGTAATGGTATGCCTTTGGGAGCCAATTCTCATCTTGTGTATTTTTTCTTACTCACATGCTTTACTTCTGCATTATCTTGGATAGTATAAAAAATGTAACCATTTATTTCTTTTATTTTGAGAAATTAAAATATTAATTTCCCAGTGAAAGGCTTTGCTGCTCTAGTTCTCATCCAATAGCTTTTTTGTCTGAAATTTGTGTTTATTCTCTTGATAGAAGATCAAGTGTGGTATGAGATCTAACCTTAATTTGAACGTATTGGACTATATGTTCATTTTCGTTGTCGACTCAAAGAAGTAATCTCTAAATGCTGTCAAGCAGGACCATGCATTCTGTCCAACATAAATGAGTCAGGGAAGCCCTTTCCCAAGTAGAATCTGCCATCAAAACCTCATACTGCTTTGTTGGCCTTCAAATGTGGATTTTTACCAGTCCCTGGTGACTGTTTCGTATGAACAGCAGATATCCAGTAAAGGCTATTTTGAATGGGTTTACTAAGATCATGATGATTCATTTGGTACTTGTGTTTTCAGTTGGTTAACCAGCTTTCTTTCCTTTGTGGTGTATGATGGGATCGCCACTAGACAGAGGTAACCTACTGGGTAGCTGTATACCTGGATGCTGACGTGGTGCTGCTTGTTGGTTTAGTTTTCACGATACTCCTCCTGAGGTTCTGCCTGCAGTGCTGCTGCTTATTCTGTGCTTGCATGATGTTATAACTTTGATTGCGCTTTGTTGGTTTGGGTTCTTAAAACCTCCTATTTTTTTTTTAGTACCCAGAATAATTCCTTGAATATGTTTGGTTGGTTCAGAACTTATGGAAATTAGTTCCAAGTCTAACTCTTTGGTGGATCCTTTTCAGTTTTTGAAAGTATCTTCAGTGTCATCACTAAGTGTATGGTTTGGCTAGGAATTCAGAAAACAGAGTAGCTTTGCTTCAACACCCAGGAAGAGACCACTTGCTAGACAGGCCATTACTGAAGCTGAGAATTAACTCTCTTTGTAAACTTTATAGATTAAAGAAAATGAATATATACTTAGAGTAAAAGCTAAGTTTTATGAGAGTTTCATCAAACAGCTGAAATTTTGGAGCCTCCTCCAAGGTGATAGTAAATATAATTAAATTAAATCATGCCTAAAGCTTGGCATGCATGTCTGATTTGCCATTATATTTCAGAGATGCTATTTACTCTGCAAACTGTTCTACATTCCAAAACTAAGGTTCTTGGGGGGTCATAAGGGTAAAAATTAAAATTACTATTTCAAAAATTAGTTTCCTGAGCATTTATGTGGGCCTTAGAAATAGTTGCTTACCTCGTCATTTCTAATCACTAGTAGTTTAGTTGTTCTTGGGCAATTAGAATTGATTTCATTTTAGTTTTGTCATTTGTTTCTTTTGGGTTTTTTTCTACCTTATATATCTCATAGAAAAAGGTGGATTCATTTTTAAAACTAAGAAACAATACCAGCCTTGAAGTGGGCCTTTTATGTTAAATGGCAGGAGTTCATAAAATTAAAATTATTTTCCAATGTTCATATTAAGCTAGCATTGAAACAAACAAAATCATCTTTGTCTTTTAATTTTAATCATCTTGAAAACTGTAAAGGATCCAAGAATTTGGAATGGCCATCAGAGAAATGCTTATGATAAATCTGTCAGATAAATGATGATTCATCTCTAACTATTTATGTTCTCATTCTGTTATATCTTTTTATCTTTTGGTTGGACTCATACATTTAATAGAAAATTGCCCAGGAACGAGAAAAATTTGCTGACGAAGGCAGTATATTTTACACCCTTGGAGAATGTGGACTCATATCCTTTTCAGACTACATTTTCCTTACAACTGTTCTTTCTAGTAAGTATAAACTTTTCATTTTATTCTTTTATAGGGAGCATACAGGCCTATAAAAAGAGTTAAGTTGATTGGAGGGGAAAACAAAATATGTTCGTAGAGTTAATGAATTATAAGTTACATAAAATTTCATTTGTTTTGAGTTCTTTATAACTTGTGTATAGAACCACCTGAGAAAGAGGAAGAAAAATAAAAGTATCAAGGTAAGTTAAAAAAAAAAAATCTATGAAATTACATCTACATTTAACTGTTTGAAGCTCTGTATTCTGTCAAGGTAAATTATATATTGCCTGCTCCTGTAGCCTTCATTAATATTTCTACTTCTACTGTAAAACACAGATTGATCTCTCATTTCCTCCACTAAAGAAGAAAATTGGCTCAATTGTTCTAATTATGTTGAAGATTCATTTTTGAATCTTGGAGGATTACTTAAGACATAAAACTCAAATTTGAGTCATTTATAGCACTAATGAATTTCTAATTGTTTTTAAGCTAAACAATTTTGTTGATTAGTATGCTACTCTAGGTGTTCCTTAATATTATTTCCCTTTAGTGTGCCTTTTTTGACCATTCAGAAAAACAAAACAAAATGTATGTTTCTAGTTCTCTGTGCACACTCTTAAAATCTACCTAAATTGAACCAAGGAGATCTGATTTGTACATTTGAAAGAGATGATTCTCAATTTTTTTCCATCTGGGATATGTCAAACAAAAATAACCATCTCTTCCTTCCCATGTTCAGGTTAGTCATCTGTAAAGATAAAACTATAAGGCAGTTTTTAATAAATGACATACACAGTTCCTGTCGTGGCTCTGACCACTTAGACCCTTCTTCTCTCTGATCGACAGGAAAATGAAATATAGACTAATATGCCTTACCTCAGCTATCTTTGGGGCACCAAAGTATTTGACTAAATTCACGTGGTGGACCAGTGCTCTAGCAATGTAAATATACATTGATTTGTTATGAAGATCCAGAATAGCAAACTAAATAAAAGCACATTTATGATCTTAAATTGTGTATCATTAGTTATTATTTTGGTAGGGCATGAGTTTTCAAAACAGGCTTCAGTTCAAATCCTGGCCCCACCACTTCTTAGCTTTCTGATTTACTGCAAGTCAGTGAACTTATTCATCTTTTTTGTCTGTAAAATGAAGATGGCAATAATACCAAACCCAGATGATTTATTTGAAGATTATGAGATCATGAATATAAAGTACCTAGTTCAGTGCATAGTATTTCGTAGTTATGAAATCTGGGTTTTTATTCTTGATATCCTGTCACAACTTCTTGTTTCATATCTGCTTTTAAAAGATCCATAAATCTTGTCATTAGAAAAAAAACAGAATTGCAGGGATTTTTTAAAACTTTTTTGTGACTTTGGATAAAATTTACATTAAATAGGCATGATGTGGCAGAAAGAGCACTGCGTTAAATGAAGACACCAACTTGGAGAACTGCATTGATGTATCATATATACTATGGAAGTAGTCCTAGTAAATGTTTGTTGAGCTAAAGTGAGATTTTAACTTGTATCCACTGCTTAGTCCTGTTGCCCTCATATCTTTCTAAGTGTCAGAGGGACCACAGAGCAGAACCTTCAGAATACCTGATACATTGTGTAGCTCCCATAATTCAATGATGTAAAAGCAGGTAAAAAAAAAAGTCACATTGACTCTTCCCCCCCCACCAAAGCCCCAGTAGATAGTTTTATGTCATAGTTGCACATCCTTCTAGTTGCTGTATATGGGACGTGGCCTCAGCATGGCCGGAGAAGCGGTGCGTCGGTGCATGCCCAGGATCCAAACCTGGGCCGCCAGCAGCAGAGCGCGCGCACTTAACCACTAAGCCACGGGGCCGGCCCCACATTGACTCGAGTTCTGAAAACCCCACCAAGCAACTCTGCTGGTCTGGGCATCTTTACTTCTTGGTGCTCAGCTCCTAGCTTAAACATGGTGAATGATTTACAACAAGTGCTTAGTATTATGATGTCATATACTTTCTGTATTTGTCAGGAAAGAGAAAATATAGTAAGAATATGATTTTAAGATTTTCTCTTTATCACTAGTTTTAAGCATTTTGATTATTATATGCCTTTAGTGTTTCTCAGCCTTACCACTATTGATGTTTTGGGCAGGATAATTCATTGTTGTGAGGGCTGTCCTGTGCATGGTAGGATGGTTAGCAACATTCCTAGCCTCTATGCATTAGATGCCAGTAGCACACCCTCCCTCCTCTCTCCTCTCCTAGTTGTGACAACCAAAAATGTTTCAGAAATTGTCAAATGTCCCCAGGGGAAGTGAGGATGGGGAGGAATCATCCCTGGTTGAGAACCACTGATGTCGTTTTTGACAGGATTTTGTTGTTATTATAATGTGGCTTGATGTAGTGTTCTTCATGTTTCTTGTCTTGGAGTTCTTTGAATTTTTTGCAACTGTGGATTTATAGTTTTCATCAAATTTGGGAAAATTTCAGCCGTTATTTCTTCAAATGCTTTTTCTTTGATTCCCCATCCTCTCCTTTGGGGACTCTAATTACACATATATTTTCCTCACATCAACCCTATAATGTTTGTACTATTATTATCTTCATTTTATAGATGAGGAAATTGAGGCATACAGAGGGTTAAAGAACTTGCCCCGAGTCCCACAGTAAGTCGATGATTTAGGGTTTGAACCCAGGCCGCCCCAGCATCTGGGGTACTGTCACTTGGCTTTACTGCTGTGGTCACATTTTCAGCAGTGATTAGCCATAGTTTACCATAATGCCTCTTTTTTCTCTAAGGCTAGGCTGTGGAAAGGCCAATCATAAACTCTCCTGTAGATAATGGGCAGTTCAAGCATCCTTGCAATCCGAATGTTGCACACTGCATTGTCTACTTTACCTAACAGGCCATGGGGAGAAATGTGCCACAGAAATTACACTGAGATCAGTTCTTTCACATGTCCACATTGCTGCTAGGATGAAAGGAAATGAGGCAGTCAGGGGATCAACTTCCTTGTGGGTAGCAAGGGATCGTCATTACCTGTAGATACACTAAATGCTTACCAAGTCATCCTGCAAGAGGGAATGCAACTTTTTAAACACTAAAAGCTTTGCCAGGGAGTGGCTTGGGACTAGGGGGAAGTGCATTGGCATGTTCATTCACCTGTTACTCTGGTGGACAACAGGGACCGTCCTTGAGATTTCCAGGGGAAAACCAGCTAGAGCAATGCAAACAGTATAACCCAGATACTGCAGGACTGTCACACTTCTGATTAGCTGGGTTTTTTTCCAAAATTAATGGACTCAGTGGTGTTCAAGAAATGGCCATCATTTTGAAGAACATGAACCCTCTGCCCAAATGGATTGACACTTGGAACCTCAAAGTACTTTAGAAACTCGACATGTTGTCTAAAATAAAATTTGAAAACTATATATAATAAATCATTGGTTTTCTTTCTCAATTTATAATTACCTCTCCTAAAAATAAAATTAAGAAAGCTGCCTTTCTAAGAAAGCATGTTATGCTATACAATTTCCCCCATTAAATAGAGTTAATTCTTCTTATTTAAACTCTTTAGAAGCTTGATTTTTAGCTAAACAAGAATTTCTTAGACCCATACCCAGAAAAACAACCAATTTGGGAGCAATATTTTGTCCTAATAATAAGCAGTGGCATGAATTTCTCACTCTTCTCTGTATGTACTTTGGACAATGGGGGCCTTTTTTGGCCAACCTAAAATTTTAAACACCTTTTATCCTGTCATACACACACACTTATACGTACACACTTCCTAAACCCCTTTCCTGCTTTATTTTTTCTTCTTGGCATTTATCACTATTTAACAGTCTGTATAATTAATTTCTTTATCTTGTTTATTTACATTCTACCTAGAATATAAACTGCATGACACTGATCATAGGTTTGTAATGATATTCACTGCAAACAGATCTACTGTATATAAAGCATTGTGGCAAGGTAACAAAGCAAGAATATAAAATTTTTTTCCAATTTTCTCCAAAATGAAGTTTAGCAAACGTAAGACTTGACTTTTCTTTTATATCCTAAATTGAGAACAATCCTTGTAGCTGTTGATGTCCTCAATCTGTAGCAAGTACCAGTGGAGTGAGGGAAACATGTTTTCAATTAATCTGTTTCCAAACAAGCTTGGTTTCTTATAATTCAGAATTCATATATTTGTACCCCCCCTTATTCCTAATTCCTATATTCTATTGCTTTTTACCCCATCTCTCTGATCAAGTTTGATGGATTAAAGAATTTTTAACATGAGTCATGGAATCTGTAAGTAGAATATTAAGTATTTACTAAATACTCATTAAATAAAAGAAGTTCAGATTCATCCTAGGCAAGATGAAGAGACTGCTAATAATTACTATTATTAAATAATTTCCAAAGAGCCTCTGATCCTTAAAGTAGGTTAATAGGAATTGATTGAGAATACAGAAGCGTGGTTATTAATGGCTTAATTCTCTGCACTAACCAAATGCAATATTAGCTGAGGGTCTTAAATTTTGTAATAGAAGTCAGAGATTTTTCTCCACAACTAGATATACAAAAGGGCCATATATAGAATGCTGTATATTATTTGTTGATTTGGATCATTCTTGCTAATGCTAAGATTCACTAGGTAATGGTAATAGAACTTAAAATCTGGATCTTGGCTGTTGACAATTGTGAAATATTTATTTTGTGTTCTTTGTCTTCATATGTGTTCTAACTAAAGTTATTAACCCTGTGGGCTAATAACATGAAAATAATTCTAGATAGCTTGAGGGGGCAATAATAAAACAATTAAAAAATTGATTATTAAGCACCTTCCTTATTATGTACTATTAATCTTTGAAAAGCCACCAGAAAAATCAAATGCAAAAAATGCTATGGCATGTTCAGTACCTAGGAACATAACTAATGAAAGTCAGGTGTAAGTCAGTGTATTTTGATTTTGATTCCTTCTTTAGATTTCAGGGAATCAGTGGAGAAATTGAATTAAGTGGCAGG